TTATCTGATGAAGGTAATTAAATTTTCTTCTTTATGCTCTGCCTAGTGAAGATTTTAGCATGTAAGTATAGTTATTATCATTCAATTTAAATACTTTTTAATTTTAACTATGATAACCATGGATTACTAAGTAGTGTTATTTGTTCTTTAGAATTGGAATTTGCTTTTGGTATATTGTTTTTCTGTTTCATTGCATCTTGAAATAAAACCAATTAGATCACTCAGAATTTTTTAGGCTTTCTTTGTAACCTAGCACATTGTAACCTAGTACTCAAACCTACTCAATTATTGTTAATGGTTCAAGTGTGTCTGAAAAGAATGTGGCTTCTAAATTAATTTGAGCTTATTAATTATAATAGTCAAATCTATTTCTTTATGTTGGTAATTTATTTTCACTTACTGAGGTCATTTTGTGTGTGTGTGTGTGTGTATAATATATATTTTTCTTTTTTTTAAGATTTCTTGATCTGTTTATCTTTACCAGTATGTAACATTCTTGCCTAAATGTTGTGAGGTCATCTATGTTGAATATTATATTTTATGATATTAAAATTAAGTCATCTTTTTTGTTAATTCATATTTGCTGGGGGCATCTTTTTCTATTCATTTATGTTTAAATTACTTGTGTATTTCTGTTTTGGTAGAACATGCATTGTTAAATCATTTAGAAATTCTAATTTGAGAGTCTCTGTCTTTCTATAAATGTCTCTGAGCCATTTACCTTTAGTAAACATTCTTATAGAAAACATTTTTATGTTAAGGCATATATCTGTCATCTTATTTCACATTTTTTATTTACCACTCTTTCTTTTTGTTTTTATCTCCCTCTTTGGATATCTATTGGATGGGTAAGATATCTTCTACTATTTTGAAAGTCATTTATTTTATTCTGATCCCTTAAAGGTCTACTTATTTAAACCCACATCACTCTTCTACACCAATTTTTAAAGATTTTCAACACCTATAAATTCCCCTCAAATAAGACAGCTACTTTAGTATGCTAACACTCCCTTGCCCTTTGATTTACCCTCTAACCTTGTTGATATTTTCTAGAGAGTTTTTAGTTTGGGATTATAATTGGTATTGTTATTTTCTTCTATTTTTTATCCCTTCCTTCCACTTGCTTCTTATTCCTTAAATTTTTAGACCACAAAAAAAAAAAAATTTTTTGTCAACCCCGAAGTTCATGAATTGATGGATTCACTGTGCAAAAAAAATTAATGTTGCAGGTCTGAGGCCGCTATTCTTAGAAAGCCCTGCTCGCTAGGTTAGCCCTTGGCTGGCATCTGTAAACTTAAATTTTGAGAAGATTCCCACCATTCCCAGAACAGGCAAGAGTGGCTCACCATGCCTAAACTATTTGTACAAACAATGTGACTTATGGTAAACATCTTCTTTCTTTCTGAGATTCTGTAATTTTGGTGTATGCTAGGCAGAAGGTGCCTATGTGACCAGCTCCCAATAAAAACCTTGGGCACTGAGTCTCAAATGAGTTTCTCTGGTAGACAACACTTTGCACATGTTTTCACAACTCATTAGTGGGAGAATTAAGCACATCCTGCATGACTCCACTGGTCACTGAGAGAGTACTCTTGGAAGCTTGCACCGGATATCTTCCAGGCTTTGCCCCTTGCACATTTTCCCTTTGTTGATTTCACTTTGTATCCTTTTACTTTCACTGCAATAAATTATAGCTGTGAAGAAAACTATATGCTGAGTTCTGTGAGTCCTACTAGCAAAGCACTGAGCCAGGGGATGGTCTTGGGAACTCTCAACATATTCACCCATACTGCCCCCAAAATGTGTATAGTCCTCCTGGGCTTATTATTCTAGTGGACTGCGTTCTTCAAGCAGGCGTTCAAGGAGGATCTTTGTGTAGTAGGCCCTCTGAGGCTTTTTATGTCTCAGAACATTTATATTGCACTCTCATATTTAAGTGAAAATTTAACAGAATATAAAATTTCACTTTAAAAGCTTTTGCCTTAAAATTTTTGAAAATTTTACTCTATTGACATCTCCTATTGGCACTATTTGGAAGTATGATACCAATCTGATTATTTTCCTTCTTGTGTGATCTATTCTTTCTCTGTGGAATATTTTAGAATTTTGTCTTTGTATTTGATGTTCTTGTATTTTACTGTAATGTGACTAGATATTTTTCTTCTCTGTTTTTTAAGGATCATTTTCAGCTTGAGTGAGGTCTTCAATAGTTCTTTAATTATGGGAAATTGTCACACGTTGTTTCTTCAAATCTTTTCTAACCTGCTAAATTTTTTTTTGCCTTTCAGTACTACTACTAACTAGATGTTTACACTTATACCTCTAATTTCCACATACCTTTATCTTTTCTTTTTAATTTTGAAACAAACTCAAAGTAGCAGAAAAGCTGCAAGTATGATAAAAATCACTTTTCTCTGTAACATTTGGGAGTAAGTTGCTAACTGATGTCTACTCACCCCAATGCTGTCGTGTAAATTTTCTCCAAAGAAAGACAAATTCTTCTACATAACCACAACAAAGCCATAAGAATCAGGAAATTAGAGATACCAATATCTAATCTTATCTATTTGGGAATATTAGTTATGTATGTTTTATGCATAATTGCAACTGATTCTGGATCATTTGATATTGGTTATACAGTTTGAGTGCAGAGACATTTCATGTAAATATGAGGTTCACCATTAGATTTAATTGAAAGGCCAAAAGGGAACACAGGCTTGGTACATTGGTTCCACTAACTAGTTCAATAGATAAGGAAAGGTGACACAAACTTGTACAAATTTGGCTTGTCAAACCTGAATTGGTTTAAGTTAAGTTACATTAAGCTAACTATGTATGTATGAGGAATGGCTCTGTAATTACAGGGGAGCTAAATGAGTGGGACTAGCTGAACTTCCATCTCTGAATGTTTGGATAAGACCAGAGGAGAAATTCAGGAGAGCCAGGGCTAACACAAGGCTATTTCATTTTAATAGCCATACAGTTATTCCCCAGGAAAGATAAGACTAAAATCAGGAAAATAGTAAACAGGCGAAAGTTTCAAGGATTATGGAAATTTTACAAGGATCTCAAAATTGGTTTGAATTTTCTTGCATCTTTATTTACATTATTATTTCATTGAATAGGTTTTCAATGCCTTTTCCTTTCTCCTCCCCTTCTGAAACACCCATCATTTAGATGTTTGTGCACTTAAGGTTGTCTGCTAGCTCTCTTAGATTTTCTTCATTTAAAAAAAAATATTTCCTTTTTTTTTCTTGTCCACCTGGGTTATTTCAAAAAGACTGTTTTTGAGATCAGAAATTCTTTCTTCTAGTTGCTCTAACCTTCCACTTAAGCTTTCTGTTGTTCTTTTTGTTTCACTGAATGAATCATTCAGTTCCAGGAGTTCTGCTACATTCTTTTTTAAGATATTAATCTCTTTGTAAATTTCCTCCTTTATATTCTGGATAATTTCTCTCATTTCACTGTGTTGTCTGGGTCTTCTTGTATCTCACTGAATTTCCTTAAAATTATTGCTTGTAATTCCTTTTCAGTCATTTCAAGGACTTTGTGCTCTACGGGGTCTGATACTTGAAAATTACTGTCTTCCTTTGGTAGTATCGTATTTTCTTGTTTTGTTTTCTTTGGGTTTTTGTATTTCTAGTAACTCTACATTTATGTCTGGTCATCTGGTAGGGCAATTGCTTCTTCTATTACTCTAGAGTGGTATTTGAGGAGAGAGACTTCCTCTTCTTTTTCCAGTCTCTGTTGGTGACTCTCCTTGTGTTAATGCAGTTGAGTGGGCAGCAGGCTGCCTGCACAGTAGCCACGATTGCTACTGTGGTGGCAAGCTGCTCTTGCAGTGACAGCAGCTGTGGCGGTGGCTGTGATGAACCTCCCACACAGAAGCAGTGTTTGCCATGTGGTCCTGCTTCTGTCAAATGGGGGGGAGGCTGCCCATGGCTTCTGCCTAGGTCCCAAGGTGTGCTCCAGCCTTCTGTCATGTGTTGGGGGCTGCCCACAGCTCCTGCCTAGTTCCCAGGCATGTTCTTGCCTTCTGTCCAAGGAAATATGATCTGACTAAAGCAGAGTCTCTCAAAAATTCAGTTGCCATTAACCACCCTCCAAGCAAGTTTCTTGTTTCAAGAGTTGATGTTTGAAAAAACAAAATCGATCAAACTATTAGCTGGACTAAGGAAAAAAGACAGAAGAATCAAATAAAATAAGAGGTAAAAAGTTAGACATTATATCTGATACCAATTCTTTTCAAACTATTCCAAAGAATTGAAGAGAAGGTGTAGGTCCAAACTCAATTTATGAGGCCAGCTGTACCCTGATACCAAAATCAAACAAAGGTTCAAACAAAAAAAGAAAACTACAGGCCAAAATCCTAATAAACATAGATGCAAATTTAAAGAACAAATTTGAAAAATATTAAGTGTTTATGAATAAACATGCTCAAGATAATATTGCCTAAAATATCAGTAATTAGTACAACACAAAATTTGACAATAAGCATTTACCTTAACTGAGTGCTGTGTAATTACAAGACACCCTGTCTTGTGAAATATTTACATGGCTAAATAAGGGTGACAGAAGACAGGTAAGAAAAGATGGGTGATTCAAAAATGTGAGAAAACAGGATTTTTTTATTAAATATATGAAGAAACTAACAGATAATACAATGAAACATAGGTTAATGCTAAGCATATCTTTTTAAAAAAAATTTTCTGTTCAATACTTGTAATTACAAAATAGAAATAAATTGTGTCTTTCAGAAAAGAAAAATTCTGTAAGCAAGAAGAGAGGGTTAGTTATGTGAGAGGAGACACCATCCCTGCAGAAGCCCAATTTCACATAGAATAGTGGCAGGCAAAGGGGAGGAAACAAGGACTGTCTTGCTCTACCTTGGACTGGCCGGTGGAGGCAATGAGGTGCTGAGGATAACGTCTTTTTCTTTACTTCCTTCTCCATGCTGAGTTCTGCAGGGAAGTCTATGACATCCTGACCAGACTTGAGGCATGTTGTCCAAGGCTCTGATTCTCATCCTGCTCCTCAGTGCTCTGCTGGAGGTCCATGCAGGGACCCGTTCCCGTTCCCACAGGAGTACACAGAGTAGGTAATGGGCAGCGGGGGAGGAACAAGGGTATGAGAAGGAAACGGGGAGAGACTGTGTTCAGTCAGGAGGACCTGAATATTGCTGCCTGTCTGCACATCCAGCTCTGACCAGAGCATTCTGCAGACTCTGGACCCTCTCAAACCATAGCACTCCATCCCCTTTACCTGGCCCTGGGAATAGTGTTGGGGGGTAGGTGAAACTGCATTTTTTTCTCCAAAAATATAAGACAAATGACATCTCTTTTTCTCCAAAAAATCCAGAGACAAATGGTACATACTGCAGGGAGACAATTTTTCCTTAATTTATATACCATCATGATAGGTAAAGACCTAGAGATGATTATTGGTGTAGGTACAGGTGTAGAAATGGGGTAGGTATAGAAAGAAAGAATATAAAGCAGGCAAAATTTGGGGTTTTCAGGGACAAGTTAAAGTTACCATCAGAGTGACCAGGAGAGTGGCAGTAGAAAGGGAACAAATGATGAGGCAGGGATACTGGTGACAGTGGCAGTGAGGAGAGGAGAGTGGGGGGCAAGAAGCAAGTTCATCTTCTTCTCTGGACCCTGCAAATTCTGGAGAGTGTGGGAAGGTTTGGAAGGTGTCTCAAGCTTCTTTACGTTCTCAGGGTCAGAGTGGAGATTCTGTGATGGCAACTTCACCGAGGCCATGACTAAGAGGGGAGACAGGGTGCATGATGCAAATGTATGGACAGAGTCCAGAAAGCCTAGGCATTGAGGCCTATAGAGGAGGTGGTAAGGGCACAGAGTGAGGACACAGGTGGTAAGACACTACTAATCACCAGGATTTGGTGAGGGACTCAAAAGGATTACCTGAAAAGTCTGGGACTATCATTAGTGGGACTTGTGTTGTAGGATCTGGGAGGAAACTTTAAGCTTGAGAAGGCTGCTCGCCAAGAGTCTTCTTCCATTTACACTGTCTGCTCCTTTTCAGGACCAGAGCTATCCCTGGAAGTCAAGGTTTGTGAGAAACGGCCCAACTTTTATCGGTGCAAATACCACTGTGAATCTCACAAAGACTGTCAAGCAAATAACATATGTTGTTTAACCTTCTGTGGGAATGTTTGCATGAGCCTGCTGTGAGTGGAAGAGTGGGCTAGGCTGTCCCGCTCCCCAAGCCCTCTATTTAGAGACTGTGCCCACATCTGAAGCACGAAGACCTCAAATCTTGGGCACAGGATTGCTGCCCTCCCCACTGTCTGTATTCCTTGACCCTGTCAAATAAACCAGAACAAATGTCCAGGAATCTTGCCTCTTTTACTCCCACTGTGATCATTGATTAAGAACTCAGTGCAGCCTCCACACATGGCCCATCCTTCTTGGGCCCTGGGACCCAAACTCCCTTCGCTGGTGCTTCTCTACTCTCTCTCTCTCTTTGGCCCACACACCCCTGCCAGCCCCAGGAGGTGCCGCTCCTGTTACTCTGCTCACTGAACCAGCACTCTCAGGGGCAGAAACTGCTCATGTGTGGCATCTCCCAACTAGGGAGAATGTTCCTCACTCTGGAGTTAGAAGGACACTGTTAAGCATGAGATAGGTGGATGTTAGAACCCAGGCATGAGTGGGAGGTCTCCAAGGACTGCTTTCCTCTCCTTCGCCTTAGTCCACCCCTACCCCATCCTCCCCAGTCTCCTTGTGAAGTTCTTATTACTGTCTCTATACAATGAGGATAGTGAATCCTAGGGAAGTCAAGTGACATGCCCAAGGTCACAAGACAGTGAGAGGCTATGATGTGGCTAGAGGAGAGTGTTTCTTCTGGACTCACTTTCTGCTCACTATTCTGCATTGCCTGAGACTACAGGCATGCTGGTAAGTGCCAACACCAACCCAAACCTACTCCTACCCATCACCCACCAATATGGTTGCTCCTATGATGGAGCCTGAATTGGGTATTGGGATCTGAGACTCCAGTGTCTTCCATTAACTGGAAGGTTCTTACCTCTCCCAAACCCTCTTCCTCGTGGGCTCATTCTCCTTTCTTTTGATCCGGAGGAATGCCACAGGGTGGGGGAACAGCTGGTTCATGCTGATATTGCTAAAATTAGTTGCCACAGGTTGCTGTGGATCTTGCTCATAGTCCTATTGTGAGTTGGTGGAAATTAATCACTGGGGTACAGACTTTCTCCTACTCTGTGCAATTACAACTCCTCTGAAATGATCCTGTGTTTAGAATTAGGGTTGGGCCACCTGTGGCCAATTGGAATATGAAGCCAAGTGTGAAGAAGATTCAGATAGGCACGCCATGCCTGGAGACAGGTGTGCAGTGTTAGGCTCCAGTCTAGTGCTTCTTGCTGGGCCATTCAAAAAAAGACACATCAGGAGAAGATACTTCCTGCATCGGAACAGAGTCCTGATTCACCTCAGAAGCATCAGTGAGCCCTTGATATTTCAGGTTTATCTCCACCTCCGCCCAGATCTGCCCTTGGATGAGCAGGCCTTAGGAAAGAGATTATGAACAATCAACACAGACATCACTGGATGTAGGTGGGTGGAAAGGGCATGGTCTTTAAGGATATTATTTGTTGCTTCCTCAGATATCTGCACTTACCAAATGTCTTTACAAGCCATGTCCTAAATACTGGTAGTAGAAACTACCAGCAGAGGTAAGGTTACCCGCCATGGTCCACATGGAGAATGACCTCTCATGTCCATGTCCGGTGCTCTCTACCATGTGCACACACCATGGTGCCAGGCTGACCTGTTATTGGCTTGAGTGCCATGGACCATGAATTTTACTGCAAGTGGTTGCTCTGCTCTTTTCTAATAACTGGAACCTTGCCCTGTGTTCCAGAGAGGTCTCTGGATACCCCACCTGGCCCCAGGGTTATCAGACACTGCCCTGAGTTTGGCTACTGAAAGGAGTGCCCACCTGGTAGTGACTGTGTGCTCTGTCTTCTATAAAAACATCTGTGTGCCCCCATATTATGTAGAGTAGGGAAATGAAGACCCCTGGAAGACCTTGACTGTCATGGAGGCAGAAGCAGCAGCAAATGCAAATTCTGCAAAGATCTGGGTCTCCAAAATGTCAAGTCCTAACCTGCAGATAATCACAGATCAGGACTGTTCTCTTTGAGACCAAATACGTAGCCTTATGGTTGCTATTTCTTTTGCATTATTTATTTCTTCCCATGTCACCCGATATGCTTCTTCTCTATGTGAATGCAGATGGGAGGACTCTACAAGGATCCTCTCTACCTCATCTGCTGTGATGTGGGGCCTCATTTCCATATTCTGGAAGCACCTGATCCTCAGAGATGAGTCTATTCTGATACCTTTACCAGTAACGTGTGTCCCAGCCTAACTTCTAGTAGTTGTTCATCACAGCAAACCTAGAATGTCTAATTCTTGAACTATAAAAAATTGTCTGAAATGCAATGGCTAGGTATAATATGTATCACCAAGACAAGTCTGTTGGCCTAAATACAGTTAAAATAAGAAGGACGTGTAACATTAAAGGACAGTATTCTGTCCATAGGAAGTTGTTCCTAATCGTAGAACTCTACCATTAAATTTACATTCTTTAGTAGTACATCTATCAGTTAATGTATCCAGTGTCTTAATTTAGTAAGAGTTCACTTCCTAAAAATCTTTAATGAGAGATGGTAAAAGGCGAAATAAGAACCTAAGTCCAGAGGTACTAAATTCTGATTTCTGAAGTTATTCTGGATCTGGGTATATAGTGTCCCTTCATGATGTTAATTCAAGTATTCTATTATTTTTTAATTGACAAACAAAAAGTGTATATATTTATAATGTACAATATGATGTTTTGAAATATGTGTACATTGTTGAATGGCTAAATCTAGCTAATTAACACATGCATTACCTCACTTATTGTTTGTACTGACAACATTCAAACTCCACTGTTTTAGTAATCTTCAGGAATATAACATATTGTTATTAACTACAGTCACCATATTGTACAATAAATCTCTTTCACCAACATCGTGTCAACCCCACCCCTCAGCCCCTGGTAACCATTGTATTCTCTACTTCTATGAGTTTAACTCTTTTAGATTCCAAATTAAAGTGAGATTAGTGGTATTTACCTTTCTGAGCCTGGCTTATTTCACTTAACATAATGTCCTCCAGGTTTATCCATATTTTTGCAAATGACAAAATTTCCTTCTTTTTTAAGACTGCGTAATATTCTGTTGTTTATATATGCCACATTTTCTTTATCCATTTATGTAATGATGGACACTCTGGTTGATTTCATGACTTGGCTATTGGGAATAATGCTGCAATGAACATGAGAGTGCAGGTATCTCTTCAGCACACTGATTTTATTTCCTTTAGATGTATAACCAAGTGTGGGGTTGCTGGGTTTTATGATAATTCTATTTTTAGTTTTTTGAGGAACCTGCAAAATGTTTTCTATAATGTCTATGCTAATTTGCATTCCCACCAACAGCATTCAAGAGTTCCCTGTTCTCCACATCCTAGCCAGCACTGGTTATCACTCATCTCTATTTGCTAGTAGCTATTCTAACAGGTGTGAGGTGATATCTCATAGTATTAATTTGCATTTCCTAATGATTAGTGATGTTGAACATTTCTTCCTATACCTGTTGGCCATTTGCATATCTTCTTTTGGTTCTCTTCCCATTTTTTAATTAGGTTATTTATTTTCTTGATATTGAGTTGTTTGCATTTCTTACATATTTTGGATATTAGCCCCTTATCAGATACATAGCTTGCAAATATTTTCTTTCATTCTGTAGGCTGTCTTTTCATTCTGTTGTTGCCTTTGCTGTGCAGAAGCTTTTTAGTTTGATGTAATCCCATTTGTCTATTTTTGCTTTGTGGCCTGTATTATTAGAGTCCGATCCAAAAAGTCATTATCCAGACCCATGTCATGGAGTTTTCTCCTGTTTTCTTCTAGTAGTTTTATAGCTTCAGTACATTTATTTAAGTTTTTAACCCACTTTGAGCTGATTTTTGTGTATGGTGTGAGATATGGGTCCAACTTCATTATTCTGAATGTGGGCACCCAGGTTGCCAACATCATTTATTGAAAAGACTGCTCTTTCTCCATTGTGTGCTCTTGACACCTTTGTCAAAAATCAATTAACTGTACATTAGCAGCAACATGAATAAGCCTGGAAGACAATATGTTATGTGAAGTAAGTCAGGCTTAGAAATATAAATACTGCATGTCCTCACTTACATATGGAGACTAAAATAGTTGAGCTCATAGAAGGAGAGAATAGCATTATGGTTAGACGAGGCTTGAAAGGACAGAGGGGAAGAGAGATAAGGAAAAGTTGGTTAACAGATACAAATTTACAGCTAGATAGGATGAATAAGTTCTACTATTCTATAGCACTGTTAGGTGAGTGTAGTTGATAATTTATTGTATATTTTCAAATAGCTAGAAGAAAGGATTTCAAATGTTCCCAGCACAAGGAAACAACAAATGTTTAAGGTGATGGATATGCCAATTACCCTGACATGATCATTGCACACTGTATGAATAGACCCAGGTATCACATTGTACTCTATTAATATGTACAATTATCATGGGTCTATTAAGAAAAAAATACATTAAAAAGAGAAAAAATAGGGCCGGCCTGGTGCGCGGCGGCGCTCCTGCTGAGGGTTCGGATCCCATATGGAGACCGGTTCCTGCTCACTGGCTGAGTGCGGTGCAGGCGCAACACCGAGGGTTGCGATCCCATTACTAGTCAGTAAAAAAGACAAAAAGGAAAAAAAAGAGAGAGAAAAAATAGAAACATAGGGTAGAATAATGGTTACCAGAGGCAGGGAAGGGAAAGGGGAAGAAGTAGATGGGGAGAGGTCGGTAAATGGGTACAAAGTTACAAAGTTACAGTTAGATAGGAAGAATAAATTCTGGTGCTCTAGGGTGACTACAGCTAATAGTATTGTATTGTGTATTTTTAAATAGCCATAAAAGAAGATCTTAAAATGTTATAACGTGTTATAATGTTACAACGCATGTTGTAATGTTATAATGTGAATGTTATAACCAAAAAGAAATAATAAATATTTAAGTGATAGGATATGTTAGCTATTCTGACTGGATCATTATACAATATATGCATGTATTGAAACAACAAACT